AAAAATTTTAAACGAATAATTAGTAAACAAATTTATTTTTAATTCATTTATTTTTAGTTCATTTATTTTTAATTTAAATTATTAATACATTATAATCATTAATATATATATAATAATATATATATTTCTTTTTTCTTAATACTAGTATGTATCCCGTGCGATGCACGGACGGGCTTTTTACTTAAAATCTTTTCTAAGACTTTATATTAAACATAGTTCTTTATGTTTAACATCTCATTATTGTAAGAAAAGAAATACCAAATATGAAAAATTATATATTATTTATTTGAATATAATGGGTATCCCCAACTAAACTAATAACATCAAACATTAGATATATGATAAAATTAAATATATGATCATCATACTTTTTGGAAAAAAAAATCATCAATTAAGTTGAACTACCCGAATATAAAAAATAATGTATGATATTATTGACCATATTTACCCGTTGTATTTAAAGATATCATTGACCATATTTTTATGACTTAAGGTTTACAAAATATATTTTCAAAATAACAATTTTTTTTTTAATTTTAATTTGACTTTTTCATCCAGTCGATATTTTCCACAAAAAAAAAATAGTATTTTAGAAAATTTTCGACGTGAAAATAAAAAAAAAAATTAATTCAATAGTAATCCATTAATTTAATATTGTTCAAAATTGTTTGATTCGGTCATAATCAAATTTGATTGAGCTTATCAAATGAAATCAGATTTTATACCTAAAATAGTATACTTTTTGTTTGATTTTCCACAACAAAAAAGGTCGTGCTTATCACATTAAACCTAATCCAACCTATTTTAGATTTTAAATATATAGTAAGCAAATAATAGATGTGATCTACAATATCTAATATTAATTTGAATTGCTTTAAATAAACAAAAATTTGAAATAATTATTTGCATACAAAATATTAAAATCGAATACGTTATGTAATTGTTTCTTTAATAAAAGAATCTTTTCAAAACATATCCACTTTTTTCTGGAGTTCTCTTCGTAAATAATTTTCTTTTTCTAAAGGCCGTGAATATTAATTTGAATTTGAATTGTCTTAAATAAGTAAAATTTTGAAATAATTATTTGCATACAAAATATCAAAATCGAATATGTTATGGAATTGTTTTTTAATAAAGGAATTTTTTTCAAAACATATCCTACATTATCTTTTTAAAACAATGGAAATTATTTTCAAATGTATCCAAAAGAAATCGGTTAGGTAGAAGATAATATATCATATTTTAAAGAATCCATTTTTTTATGGAATTGTTTCCTTAATCACATCCTAAAAAAAAAGAAATATATTTAGTTTGGCTTATTCTAAAAATTTGATTTAACCAATAAATATATATCAAATCCTAACCTAAAAAATAAGAAGTTAAAACATATGGAATTGTTTATTTAATAAAGGAATCTTTTCAAAACATATCCAATATTAATTTGTCAAATAGTAAAAAATGAATTTAAAAAAAAAAAAAAAAAA